GCACTATCTTTTCGCAGCCTCCGCTCATTTCATTCAAACGCGACAAAAACTTAGGCAATTTTTTGGTCAGAAGTTCTTTTCAGACTAATGAGCAACCAGGCACTTTTAAATGCGCTCGTGCACGATGCAAAACGTGTCCTTTCATTCACAACACTGATAAAATATCGGGACCTAAACGATCCATTAAGATCACCGATCACTTCACGTGCACCTCCGCCAATGTAATCTATTGCATAACTTGCACTTATTGCAAAAAGATATACATCGGCGAAACAGGCAGAAGACTAGGTGACCGATTCCGAGAACACCTTCGAGACGTGGAAAGGAATGACAAGGACACATCGAAACCAGTCGCTAGACATTTTAATTTACCTAATCATTCTAAGCAACATATGGCAATCTGCGGTCTTTCCTTGCACTTAGGTGGCACGGAAAGCCGTAAAAATCTTGAACAAAAGCTCATCTTTCAAACCGGCAGTCTAAATCCCACAGGGATCAATGAACGCTTTTCATTCCACTAATTTATTCATGTTTTTCTCGTTGCCATGCACCCACCAATAACGTAGCTCCATTTTCTGCCTTTAAAAGCACACACAACCCACAATTCCTCTATTCGCTCCGACGAAGGGCTAACGCTCGAAACGTCAGCTTTTGTAATCATTACGGTGGCCAATTTACCATTTCAACTTTGTTGATATATCCAAATTATTTCGTTACTCCCACCGACGCAGCCCCAAACAGTTTCTTTCGAAACTATCAGCCTTTATTCATTAGTATGATTTTGTAACCTTGACACTCTAAATAAGTGGAGTATTGTATATCACGTGTATACCTGTGAGTTTCAATGTAAACGCAGTTCAATGTCGATATACTTTATATCAAATTTAAACACAATTTCAGTACGGACATGTATTTTTACAAAACTATAAACATGCTTAATAGAGGAATAAAAAATCGTTTGAGATCAAACTCTTACCTAACCGAAGCTCTAAACTGCTGCTCCGTTTGGAATTGTTGCAGTGTCATTAAAGCCACAGTCGAATGTCCAAAATCAGTTTTAATACATATTTCATCCAAATCGTTGTTGGAGAGCAGACGTGAATGGGTAGTTACCTATGGCAAAAATGATAGCCAAATAGCGCCAAGTCATGAAAACAGAGACGAAATGTAATATATCCATTCTTCGAATCGCTACTGGACATTTTCCAAGGTTAAAGACGCCACTGCTGGTTTACTATTGGGCCTTTTGGATCTTTTATGTTCACACCATCAACGCCATTCTGGGGGTGTTCCAGAACTTGGTAATTGCTTAATAAGCTTCTGTTTGAGTTATTTTGCACCTTGTTTGTAGACCACCACAATCCCATTACTTTATCAACTTGAGTCAAACTTAAAAAGTCTCCAGATTTTTTCAACTAACCTGAATTGAGAGCCCCTCCTTACGCCTTTCATCTGGATTATTATCTTCCAAAGTAAGCACGTGCGACATGAACGCTGCCAGACTCGAGTGTTGTTGCTCTTTGAAGTAGACATTCCAGATGGAAGGAGCGCGTCCTCCAAGAGTAGTGTGTGGAAGACGAGCGATTGCATCAGGTGTAGCCATCTCCAGAAGCACCATCTGACATCTTCGAAAAACCTTGGACATTAGATTAGAAAGAATGCGAAGTCACTCCGCCGGTCTAGTGTGGCTAAAACATCACCGTTCACACTGACACAAACACACGAGAACAAAAACACAAGCACACAAAACCGAATTAGTCAAGGAAGAGAAGCATCAAGTAGCTTCTTCTTATATTTTCATGCCGAATAATCAACTAAGCAACTTTCAAAATATCTGCGTGTTATAATAGGTATGGCCAAAGAACAGTACCAATATATCTTCTCATAACGTTCTTACTTTCATTTCCCATGTATCCGCTGTGTCATCACTGGCTGATGAATTGTCTTCTCTTTCAATTTCGCTGCAGACTTGCATCACAAGGGAGGGAATTGTGTCATTGTGGAATCCAACGAAAGCGTCCCAGATGGAGAAATCCCTTAAATAAAAAAAGCAAACAGCATACAAAGAAACACAACGCTGATAGGGTGATTCCTCAACTTTTCACCGCGCTTTGCGTGCGGCGCTTAAAATCACACCTAACTCCTTAGCAATATGCACGTACGGTGATCCTTTTCTCGTCAACCTTTACTTTGAATAGGAGCTTTGTGGCCCATATCCTTATATTAAAAAATTTTGATACACTAACCGCACGAGAAGAAAGTGTAATAGGTGTAGCAGGTGTAGTTTGGTGTTATTTGGTGTAGTAGGTGTAGTTTGGTGTAGTAGTTGTAGTAGATGTAGATGTAGTAGATGTAGCACGTGTAGTAGGTGTAGTGTGTGCAGTAGTTGTAGTTTGATGTAGTAGATGTAGTTTCGTGTAGATCGTGTAGTTAAGTGTATTAGGTGTAGTTTGGTGTTGTTTGGTGTAATAGGTGTAGTTAAGCGTAGTAGGTGTAGTAGGTGAAGCTTTTGTAATCGTTATGGTGGCCAATTTACCACTTCAACTTTGTTGAAGTTTAGTGTAGCTTTGTTTTCTAGGTGTAGTTTAGTGTGATGGGTGTAATTTGGTGTAATACGTGTAGTTTAGTAAAGTGAGTGTACTTTGGTGTAGTAGGTATAGTTAAGTGTTGCAGGTGTAATTCCGTGTGGTAGGTGTAGTACGTGTAGTTTGGTGTAGTAGGTGTAGTTAAGTGTAGTAGTTGTAGATTTGAGTAGTTTGGTGTGGTAGGTGTAGTTACGTGTGTTGGGTGTAGCTTGGTGTAGTTTGGTGCATTGGGTGTAGTTACATGTAGTTAAGTGTAGTAGATGTAGTTGGGTGTACCTTGGCGTGGTAGGTGTAGCTAAATGTAGTAGAAGTACCTTGGTGAAGTTTAGTATAGTAGTGTAGTTTGGTATACTTTGATTTAGTTTGGTGTAGTTAGTGTAGTTTGGTGTAGTTTGGTGTAGTAGGAGTAGTTTAGTGTAGTTTGGTGTGGTAGGTGTAGTTTAGTGTAGTTTGGTGTAGGAGGTGTAGTTTGGTGTAGTTTGGTGTAGTTTGGTGTAGTAGGTTTAGTTTGGTGTAGGTGTAAACTAGGAGTTTGTTTTCTACATATTCTGTACAACGATATCAGTACCCACTATTTGGGTGGGACTTTGCTGTAAATACAACACGTTTTATCTGTTCCTTTTCGGCGAAATCTGAAACACCGTAGAATGGTACAATACGTTCGAAATAATTCCCTATGCGGCCATGGCTCTGCCTTTCACAATGGAAATTAATCATTTTCACAACTTTTCCTTCCTCTATTAAGGAAACAGCTGCTCTTTACGCAACGGCCAACTTGTTTTCGTTTTCAAATCTAGCGCACGATTCTGCTCACGCGCTTTACAATTTCGCGACTGTTGTCATGGTAACTGATCCGATGAACTAAAGCTCCGTTTCTCTGATGCACCGTTATCTGTGTGATCTTGGATCACAAATCCTGATCCGGATTCTCCCAAAGGAACGCACCCTAAACTATCCCTATCTAATTCCACCACCTCCAAATCTCACCTGTTAGGTATGCTTTCTCTCGAAACTTCAGAAAACTCACGAGCCCAGCCAGTCATTTTCTGAACTACATCCCTCTGTTTAGGAGTCAAACTTGTTAATGTGACAAGGAAGTGTTTCTCTAAACGGTTAATCAGCGGTATAGGAAACGTTTTGTACACCACATCCTTTTCGGCAATCACTATCAACCTAAGTCAAGGAAAGCCGGGAAGTTTACATAGAAAACAATATAACTTATAGCTAAGATTCATTGGACTCTTCGCTCTTATGCCTGTTGACACACATTTTATGAATGGTATGGATCAGTCTATCACCTCATATAGGAATAATTTTAAGGGCAATTGGTAGAATTCGCATTCACCATGGTTTCGTTTATCGCAACGTTCACCCTTGTGATGCAAGCCACAATATTTAAAAACTTCAGACACAAGACAAAAGGTTAAAAAACCTAAAAAAAATTATCATTGACGTGAAACAAAGTAACCAATAATCATCGACATAATTACACGGTGCACAATAATAACTGCACAACATAACAAGGTAGACAGCTTATTTCTGTAAGTTGATATTCATAAATTCTTACTGGAAATCGTCATGGACCCGACACTTAACGCGGTGAGTACCAAGCCCAAGGTCCACATACTTCTGTCCTCCAAAGTACACATAGTACTGAAAAAAAATGTGGACAGAAAATGAACTTAACATTCTTGGATACTGCAGCTTTTGACCTTATTGCATATTCTTACAAAATAACAACCCTGATGCAAAGGCTTCTTAAGTGAAACCTTATTTGGCATAAACTTCTTAAGGATTGAATTTTTTTGGTACTCAGACGAGATATACGGTCAGGAAGCCATGCATCATCACCGGTCTAACATCATTTTTGTTTCCTATTCTGGCACTGTTTGTAGCTCACAGGCCGATGGGGCCATGCAGGTCGATGAAGAAAAAAAACATATTTTACATCCTATCATCTATGCACGGCGTATTTCTTCATCGGATATCCCCTACCTGATTTAAGGCATCGTAAAGACTCTCGTAAAGACTCTCAAGGTTCAACAAGATCACGGTTCTTCCTGTCTCCATACAGACCTTAATACGATTGATGTTGCGGCAAATCTGAAATTTGTAAGCCAATAAAAACTGTATCGTTCCACATCCCACCAACAGAAACTGGATCGCTTCATATCCCAAGTGACCACATCATGAGATAAACAATTACATTTTCTTTCATGTCAATAGGAACTGATTAGTCAAACAAATGAAGAATAGTGTCGTTACGTTATCACTTCATAAGAACCCTGATTTCTGCTCAAAAAGGGGCAAAAATCTCAAGATTTGAAACAGCGTGTTTTTTACTGAGCCCGTGTCGTGAGAACAAAGAATCACCCAGTTTGAACATTTGACACGATCTTCTCTTAGGTCGGAGAATTGGACATATTCCCGAAAGTATCTCGTGAAAATTGAAGCGATACAGACCATCGTTAATTGTTCTTGTGCAGAACCATGCACCTTCAAACCACTTTTTAGTTAATCCGGAAAAAAGAGGAGAACACTGTGGACTTCGGGGCCCAACAAGAATTCAATAAAGGGACGATTGCAAGTCTACTCAAAATTAATTCTTGTCAAGCGCCTGTCGTCATTGGCTTCTTACCTGAGTGTATTCCTGGTCATTTGGAAAACTGCTTCCGAAGATCACAACAGCATCATCTGATTTCTTCAAAAGATGCTGTTGTATGATGGGTAGGGCGGCATAGTTTTCAGTCAATATCAGGAGATAACGGTTCTCACTGAAAAACCAAGAAAAAAAAAATTTGGTTACCCATGAAAAACAATTTTTCAAATAAACGAATTAGAGAAAGATCGAGCAAATGAGAAAACGAACTAATATACTCACTTATTAACTGACTGACTAAATTACCAATTACCTGACTAAGAAAAGAACAAATAAACAAACGGCCGAACTTAAGACACAAACCAACCACAACTGACCAACGAAGCAGAGGAAGAAAAAACGATCTAACTGATGGCCAAAAATTAACTGTATAACGATAGAACACAGTAACGAATGAAAAACGTTCGTTGGTACCGATTTCGAGAACACCTTCGCGACGTAGAAAGGAATGATAGGGACGCATCAAAACCAGTCGCTAAACGCTTTAATTTACCTAATCATTCTAAACAACATATGGCAATCTGCGGTCTTTCCTTACATTTGGGCAACACGGAAAGCCGCAAAACTCTTGAACAAAAGTTTATCTTTCAAATCGGCACTCTTAATCCCACAGGTATCAACGAACGCTTTTCATTCCACTAATTTATTCGTGTTTTTCTCGTGGCCATGTTCCCACCAATAGCGTAGCTCCGCTTTCTGCATATAAACCTACATACAACCCACAATTCCTCCATTCGCTCTGACGAAGGGCTAACGCTCGAAACGTCAGCTTTTTTATTCGTTACGGTGGCCAATTTACAATTTCAACTTAGTTGATATTACCAAATTACCTTGTTACCCCCACCGACGCAGCACCACAGTTTCTTTAGAAACTTTCAGCCTTTAACGATAGAACAGATAGATATCAACCTTACCTGAAATTAGCTCGATCAGCCACGTCTTCCCTTCCAAGACTTGCCTCGATTAATCTTAAGGTCGTACAGGTTTTTGCAACATCATCCTAATTAAGACGCAAAAGGAAAAACAACATAAACCTTGAAATTTCTCTTAAAAATTGTTCACTGACACAATTTATAAATGTTTCAGCTGCACAGACAACAGTTCTTCACTTAAAATGATGAGAGGTCTTAGCATAAGATTGCTAGCCTTTTTATAAAACAAAATTTGGACTCTAAAGTTCAGCACCAACCGAATATACGTCCTGAGAACAAACTAGAGTAACAAAGGTTGCCAGTAGAAACAAAGGAAAATATTAAGGTGATTCCTCGATATCGCACTGCGCATTCTGTCCACCACATAGAAGTCATGTAATAAAGCATTCACGAAGCCCATTACTCGATGATCAAATCATAACCTTGAAAGCAATGAATCGAGGAACGTTATGAATCGTTGTTGTTTAAAATTGCGTAAGTTTTCCAAAACTTATATACAAAATTAATTCATACGTTTGAGAATTTCTATCTACCAATTTTTTTAATTGTAATTTTAAAAAATTTTGCTCCCAGTCACCAAAAAATGGACCGTGAACCGATGAAATAAATATATCTTTTTAGACGTTTTGTTGTGTGGTATCGCTGATTATTTTTACGAGTTGTGCTGTATTTTTGACGAGCCCGTAGGGCGAGTCAAAATACAAATAACGAGTAAAAATACTCAGCGATACTACACAACAAAACGTCTAAATGATATTTATTATTCAACACGCTAAACTGTTATTTCAGTGCGGGCGAATTTCGCGGATATTTATTTACGGGGAGTGCGTGACAGAAGTGTGCGAAGCGGAACGGAATTGGCGCGTTGTCGCGTTGCTGCTTCTATTTTCTTCAATAAATGAAGAAACTTCCTGGTCGTCTAGCTGTTTTTCTCCGTTCGATTCATGTAATAAACTTTGATCTATGTTTGCCAGCCATTCTGAGTCTTCGTCGTCGGAAATATGGTTCAAATTGTCCGCCATTTTTTGTTTTGTAACTACAATCCAATTCTTCGCGATGCGAGAAAATCTGTTTAACCGGTACTCTAGAGTACAAATACCGCGTGATATTTGTACTTGTTTATGGGCGTTATTTGTACTCTGGGAAGTGTGCGTAGTTGGATAATAACACGCGTTATTAGCCCCAGTAAAGGCATAAATGGGATAAGTTTGGCCTGTCATATCTCTTAAATTAGCAACCTTAAAGGAAAGTTTAGAAAAAAAATTCGATAACTATTTCTGAGGAATAAACTTAAGAACTGAAATAAACCAAGAAAACGTGAGAGCCACTAAGTCTTAATTGCTTTTAGCTTTTCATCTTTTTACTCGAGGTCGTGGGCCGGGTTTTTTAAGGGTAGTAAACACTTTCATCTCAGATTATTATTTAAACCCAACTGAAAATTTCTCAAAAGGTCTACTCACATCTGTCTCGGGATAGTACCGTTTAAATATCTCCACAGGGTCTCCTTCGATCAGGCCACCAAAGTTCCTCTTGATGGCATGTTCTAGTTCGTGCCAACGAGGTCTACGGTTAGACTTTGCGGCGATCGAGTACACCATTTTGATAAGGCTAACATAAAAAGGAAAAATAAAAAAAGCAAATCACGCAGAGAAGCTATAAAATACATCCCGAACTACAAGAAGCAAAGTGAAGAGTATATTCTTAAAAATCAAACCTATAAAAGTCACGGAGGCCGAAAAATTCTTCCTTGCCCCATTTCTTTAAAGTTGCAAAATTCTTCTGTTCCATGTAAAGTTCTACGTATCCATCGGCCAATGGAGATATGAGGGGTTGAATAAGATTTTTCACCCCTTCATCCGTTGAACAGATTCCCCTACAAAAGCAAAATTCAAAGGTGTAAGCGGAAGTAAAAATCCCTTCAAAAAAGACTCTTTAAGTGAATGATAGAGACTTATAAAGAAACACTCATGATTGTGACGCTATCTATACAAAACCGAGCGTTTGAAAATGGCTAGAAGGTTGGACAGAGCTTGACTCAAAGCTGGTCTATACTAGCAAATTTCACGATACGATTTAACTCGAATATTCCCGTATTATATATGTTTAAGCTCACATTGCACTGTCCACAAGTTCGTCTTTTTCGGGCACCCCACGCGACAACATGATTCCACGGTTCATTTTGGCAGGATCCAAGGCCCAATTTGAGATTCCAATGAAAGCTACACGCTGTGGTTTCTCGTCAGTCTCAATAACGTCATCAGCAGAGGTGACACCTTCCTCGAGCAATGGATGTAGGGTTTTTAGGGGCATGAGAGGAGAATCTTCAGCCAGGCCAACCTCATCAAGGACTACAACTGAAACAAACTTGTCTGGGTTTTTTCCTTCCTGTAACTTGCTGCACTGCTTGAAAGTCGCCACGATACCCTCAGGGGTTGAAAGAGGACTGCACTGATATGATGCCATATGGACCTACAATGAAATAAACTATCATTGCAGTTTCACCGTTGAAAACCCGATCAGTGAGAATGCTCGAGGAAATGTTCGTTCTTAACCTGAAAAACGTGATACCCTTAATAGTAATAATTATGGCTGATTTCACCTCGCACTACGGGTCCGTTTTACTCGGCAAAAATGCTTCTCGCTAAATTTTAATTCAAATGCACCTTTCGACTGAGTGTTGTAAACAAACGGCTGGTAGAAACAAATAAAAACATCTCAGAATGCAAGAAATATTTTGAGTGAAATAGAAGAAACAAACAGCTGAAACGCGTGGAAATTGAGTGACTGATTAAGAAAGAAATTAACGAGACCGATCAAAGAGAAAGGCAAAAACATTCGCCTAAAAGCAGAGCTCTTCATATTTTTCTTAGAACGTCAGTACATCCAACTCTCTTAAACTTCCGAAAGGTATTTGAAACAACGAAAGTTATTCAGGAACACGGGACATAAAAGCAGTTGCTTTAGATCATTCCTGGCCCGTGGTAATCCTTAAACTATACCCATATAACCTTTCCCACGAGGATTTCGCTTCGTGAAGCCGAAAGTTCAATTTTAGAGACTATTCCTTTGATGTAAAGCTGTGAGACTCCAGCCATGTTTAGCAACATTTGCATAAATTTCATACCCCGCCTTGCCCCCATGAGGCAGCTTGAGGCAGGCTTTCCTGTGCTTCGTGTACCGACCCACTTCGCATCGACGAACGGTGACACCATGACCAAATTTTCTTGATCTGTTGGGTTACCAAATTCTCTCAAGTATGGTACTAAACTTAGGCCAAGGCCGTTTATTTCCAAAACCCACTGAGAATAGTTCCTAATGGCATGCCCGCCTTCCGGTTAGCTCAATTGGTAGAGCGCCGGACTGTTGTGCGGGAAATCGTGAGTTCAAATCCGGCCGAAGCAACACTCAGGGTTTTTAATTAACTGAGAAGAAAGTGCTGCCTTCGTAATAATATCTGCAAATGGTTAGACTTTCTAGTCTTCTCGGATAGGGACGATAAATGGAGGTCCCGTCTCATGCAGAGTTAGGGGTAGGAGACGTCAATTTCCCACTCACGAGATTACTGTGTGATGGATGTCCTCCCCTGGGGTGGATGGTGGGTATAGGTGTCAATTGGAACGAAAGTTCTGGTCCTTTCTCCTACCATTCCCGTGGCGAATCAATTAAACTAAAACTAATCTAAAACTAAACTAAAACTAATACCCGAAATGAAGTACTTTTGAGCAGCAAGAGTGAGTAAAATAACACCGACATGACCATAACAACTCCCTTTACCTAATCTAAATTTCTGTACTTTTATAGTACCAAGATAGTTACTTTCCAACGAACCTCGAAAATTCTTATTACCTGCTTGAAGGTCTTGAATAAAGGCGATCTTGCAGCATCGCCTTGCATGTTATATGCAACAACTGTCTTGGCCAATGATTTGGAGCTGCCTGGTTTTCCAACCACAAATAGTGGGATCCTGAGCTCAATGCACACTACCATCATGAACACATTCTCGGTCAAGGCTGTATTGCGAGCAATGTTAGGGCCGAGTTCCAAATCGTTTAACACAGCTTTTTGGCAACTAGCAGAAACAAAAAAATTGGCAGTATTAGATAAATATGTTAACATTACTCTTGCTTACACCAAGTGCAGAACTGACGGGGACGTAATTTTAAACAGCGGAACCTCAGGCCTCATCTTCTATTGATTAAACTTACACCAACAAATCGTACCGTAATATTTCAATAAATTACATCACCATGAGCTTTGTAGTTCATGTTATTTTCATAAGGCATAGACGAAGAAAAACTTAAGCGTTTTTCTTTATAAATTTAAAGAGTGCGAACCTTGAAATTTCACGGAGGATTTGCTCCTGACCACCTGGAAGTAAACATGGTGCCTTAAAGCTCTTTGCCACTACTTCACGATATCCTTCCCGCCGCTTCTGTAGCTGAGCGTGATAGCAGACACCAATAGCGAGTACCAGGGCACGGGTGAGAGGACTTATGGTCTCCTGCGGAATGACCAATATCGCGACATTTTTCACCAGAATTGTCGTTTCCCTAAACCTACCTTACTTTCTTGCAGATAAATCAGCAGAGACGCATTTGTGGCTTGAGGCAAAGATATAAGAAACTAGACTATATTATTTTTTCCTAACACCGGTGTATAAATCACATCTACCGCTCTTGCTGTACTCAGACAAATGGTTGAATCACAACGCGAGACGGATTGAAGCAAGCAAAAGGATAAACAAATGTCCGCTTCTTCTTTATTATTACTGAACGTGGACATGAATGATCAAAAAATTAATAAATGAATGACTAAATAAATAAGAGGCGTACTCACATCAGCTATCACCTTGTCCATTGATTCACCAAGCGTATCCATGTGCTCATAAAACCAGACCATCACCTGCATGGCTCTCTCAACATCACGAAGACTAACAAAGCTACATTCGTCCTTAAATGAAAAGAAGCAGGTGATTACCTCTTTGAGTTGACAAATCACTAACAATACGAATTTAAAACCTTATTTCTTTGATAAATGGGGGAAAATTTGGCTAGAAACTCTTTACCAACCGATTGATTTCTCATATATATCTGCGAAGCTGCCAGAACCTCCGCAACTGCCTCCACTGTCGACGAGTCTCCTGGTAATTGATTTTCACGGATAATCTGTAAAAAATGACGGGAGAAAATTACAAACTGAATTAAACAATAGATTAACAAAAAACAGCTACAGTGATTAAGTGATAGCTCCACCCCTTCTTAAAATTTTCCAGCTGGATGAATATTCTACTCTAAACGTAGTCCACTTTTGCAATCAAATAGAAGGGAAGCTGGGTATCGGACTTTTCTATTATTTCCCATAAAGGTTATGCATATCATTCGCTATGATGAGGGAAGAAAAGAAAAGAAAAATTGGGGTTCTCATCTCCTTGTTTTCCTCATCCTTGAAGGTTGATAAGAAATCGAAAACCACACTTACGTAGCGGTGGACAATTTGATTAGTGTACAGTCTCTCAACATCGGGTTTCAACTGGCCAAAATCCCATATCAAAGGGCGCATGCTTCCTGGGAGGGCGTGCACACGGTACACAAGATGACGTAATGGAATATGACCTGTAGAAGAAACATGCTTAAAAACCAATTCTAAGCGATACAGAATTTTGTTCGTGTACTATTAGAATCCGCTTTGTCAACTGTTAAGGCCTAACCATACTGACCTTGATGCGGCTTGGTCAGTACGGCAAGGCCTCAGTACGGCAAGGCCTCAGTACGGCAAGGCCTCAGTTTTAGATTTCTCATAACAACATCGGTCTCGATTATCAAGCACATATTCAAAAGACAAGCCCTTCAATTACAAAACGGGCCATCTTATTCATCTTTACTCCAATGGAAAACTAAGACAAAAGAGCGATCTCCTTCATAACAGAAAGGAAACGCATGGTGGAGAAATTCGACTGTTTCTTTGAAAAAGGAAATGTAAAATGTTTCTCCATACCAAGCCGATCTTCTGTTTCATCTGCATTCACACGATATCCAAGCCCTGCTGACTCAAGTTTGTGAATCATGTCATCCGTGTGTCTTCAAAATATATAAACAAGAACACTTCGTCATTACTGTTCATTTCGAGCACAAAGCTAACGTATTCAGTTAAGCTCTAGAAGAACATAGAAAATCATCCCAGAAGGTTGCTATTCCGACCAAAACTTTATCGTCCAGGGCACAATGATCGACTCTCACAAAACTTCAACGAGGTTCGCCACTTGGGTGCCACCTTGACGGTGAGAGAAACTAAATTCAAGGAAATCACGAAAGATGGGTTGAGTCCACGCCGTGAATTCGAGAAAATCTACCATGCCAATCAAAGTTTAAGTCCTAGTTATCTGAGTCAAAAGTAAGGCAGATAAGGCATTTTTTACCTTCTGTAAGGATTACAGGCAGCAATAAACTGCAGCCTTTGTAAGCCTTGTCCAATAGCTTGACCATTGACTCTTCGGTCCACCATAACCTCTTTGATCATGGTCAGTGCTTCAGTAGTGTTAGCCTCATCAAAGAAAAGAACCGTGTCAATATTCTTGTCTTGATTTACAAGAGCCATATCTTCTGCTTGGTGAACTTTAAGCTCGATGTCTTCGTATGTTGTACCACCATGAACCTTTCGATGTAAAATAATATGTAATTGGTATAGACTAAGCTTCTGCGATTTTTTTTTTAAATTTAAAAAGAGTAAACGTGGTATAGACGTTTGATTTCATCATGTGAAGTTACCTTGAGGTGAAGCATGTTCCGGGGTCCCTTGGGGCCTGCTTGTAAACCACACATGTAACGTATGAGGCGGGTCTTACCACAGCCTGTCTCACCCATGACGATCACAGGAATGTTGCATCTGTTCACAAAATTCATCGATCAGCGTTAAGGTAAAAACCTTCTTCTTTACCATTAGGATAGAGGGTTGAATGTAACCTAATACTTAAGAAAGTTTGACGATATTGAACAGTAAGTTTAAAACATAATTTTCAGGGAAAACAAACTTGGTAAAGCTTAAACCAACTCATTCTTTATAAACCAATTTCTCACAATTCCAAAGGAAATCAAATTCAAACCGGTCTGAATCAATATTTACCTGAATCTCATATGAATGGCCAGAATCTTCTTAACATTGTCTATCGTAAGTTCATAGGCACTGTCTGGATCGTGCGACCACTTTACACCCATCACAGAACATAACTGATTTATCTTATCCTTTCTGAAATGGAATAAATGTATTTGACAGAAGGCTTTATGATTGAACAGAGAATCTCACAAACCATTCTTTTTCGTCGTTAACCGTTTACATCCTTAAACGGCTAAATCGAAAAAAGGGGGTAAGTTTCTAAAGAAACTAGGATGCTGCGTCGGTGGGGGTAACAAGGTAATTTGGCAAATCAACTAAGTTGAAATAGTACCTTGACCACCGTAACGAGTTAAAAGCTCACGTTTCGAGCGGTAGCCCCTTGTCAGAGCAAAAGGTTGATAAAAAGCAATTTAAACCTGTAACTTACAACAAGTCAACCCCCAATTCTGACGCGCTAATCTATCATTGTGGTCGCTTTATTGTACATATTAGCAAAGACTCGGCGTTAGCGGACATCAACAATGTATGACGACGTAAGGTGCAATTATGAAGTATACATTCTCCTCAGATGGGATTCACAACCTTCCAATCCTCCCAAAGAATGTCGATCTTACCATGACGTTCGCTAGGAGATATTCGAAAGGTAAAGAGCACGACGCCATTAATCATTCAAGCGAAGATATCTTCAACATGAGACACTTGCTCAGAAAGTTAGATATTGACAGTGAACCCTATCAGCTTTCCAAATGCAAAATGTTTATTCTTAAATGACGCAAAGCAATTACATAACAGTCTGAGTAAAATGGTGTCGGCACTTACTTCTTCGAGGTCTCAATGTTTGTTGTAAAATCGACACGCTGGGCATGCAGTCCATTACGTAAATGTTTGGACATCAAACCTCTCTCCAAAGTCTGGCCCGTTTGAGGGTCAACAAGGTCACCAGCAGAATTGATGAAGAAACCAAGAAAAGTCAGAGTGATGTGGTCTTGGTTAAAGAATAGGTATGGATGAGGACTGAATAACAATACAAAAACAAAAACTGTCATGAGACACCTAGTTTAGGGCACCGTTGAAAGTGACAGTAACTGAAGTTTCATCCTCCACTCAGTTTTCGAAAGTGAAAAGTCCCTTCCAGAATTACCCTAGTACGAACAATCTCTCCATACAAACGACTGTTACCTCTGTTTTTAACCACTCTTTGCCTCAGAAATCATGCAACGACAAAGGCAATACTGAAAAAGACCCCATTTCAAGAAGGAAATTAGTTCCTTCTCTAGAACACCGCAATTTTGAACCTGCTCACTTCTTCATTTATTGCGTAATAGAACTACAGGTGTCTCCGTTCTGAAAAGAACACCACTCCAATATTATTGATTAGTAAGGGAGCAGAAAAACTAAAAAATGATTTTTAAGCATATGCTGGGCAACTTTTCTGAAGAAATTGGTGAAATCATTGTTCTAACTAAAAACCTCTTTTTCAAAGACATGAGATTAACTGTCGCATTTACAGTGCCCCAAAGGTATTTGCTTGACCAAAGAAACAAGAATGTCAGTCGATTTTAAAAAAGTACAAAGGGATATTTACAGAAGGATTGAACACCTATTAGGTCCTTTCATGACCGGCACTACAACCCTTCCTAGTCATTTTGTTCATCCTCTATTCTCGTTGTTGTTAAGGTGCGTCAGCACTGTATGCCAGATGACAGGTTTTCAATTTGGAGTAACCTTCTCCTATAAATACGCCAACTGTTCGCCCGTGACCATTGCAGCTTCAGTGACGAGCCCAAACGACTGCCCACCGGAAGACAGTTTTTTTCAGAATGTTTCGCGCTTTTATACGTTCTTTGCTTTATTTTAAATTCTTAAAACGAACCGGCACACGCGACAGTCACGACTGAGCAACGTTTTAATGTGCTACGCGACAAAAAAATAATCACCTGCTTTCCCACTGTCTTCTGAGCTGAAACTGTTCGATCTCTTTTCTTTTAAGTTCTTCGTTGTCTACCGTGTAAAACACAGTGTTCTCTTCCGTTAAAGAGGGGGTAGCAAAATCCTAAAAGAAAAGCTAAGTAAATACTAAAAAAGGACTTCTAACCAATGGACAATATTACAAAGAAAAGGAGAAATTAAAGGCATTCTTTAGAAACATTAATAGAATAGGAGAGCGGTCTAAAAGTGAGCGTTAAAGTATCTGGGCTCTATAGTTTATGAAACTTTTTTTAGCTTCAATTTTACCCAAAATTTCTGAAATTTGTTTTCATGACGACGAATGTACGATTTGTAAGCACGTTTTCGACGTAACGTAAACGACCTGATGCATCCCCCTGTCTCTCATGCGACTCCATCTAGACTTTCAAATTTCTAATGAACCCCAATACTTCCCCTCTCGTTAGACTTAACCTCTTGGTGTAGCATTTAGAAACAAGTTATTTGAAAGATGGTATCTTCGAAATATTTTCCTTTGGTTTCGATTTCTATTCCGCAGTAAGAAAAAAGCTGTACATACGAGCCATCCTAAGTTTTAGATAGTTTAAGGTGGCTCTGAATGGTACGTCAGATTTTTTTTTAACTTGGCAGAAAGATAATAATATTTTGATATTCATCGCAGTTCAATGATAAGAAGTGGAAGTTTCCTGGCAAGGCGTTCATGTACATAAATGGATGTAAAGCTAATATTTAGAGTGTTTCTCGGGGGCTGCAAGATTGCTTTTGTGAGCCTGTATTTCTAAACCATAAAAATGATAACGAACTACAAATAATAGGATTAGTTTTTTTCAGTTAGATGGAATAGATAAAATGTTATGTTATTATGAATCCATCAAAGAATTTATGTTTAAAAATAACGAAATAACTTTTAGCCATTTTCACAAAAACGATGTCAATCAAAGGTGGACGACAGCTTGAAAGAAAACCAATAACTGAAATGGCTGCTGTTAGTGTTCCTTTGATAGGACTACTCCCTTTAGAAAGCTCTTTCCCTAAAAGGCTCCCTCCTGCGGAACAGTAATGTGTTAACGGCATACTACAGAAATGTATTTTCTTAGTTCAGTGAAAAAAGAATAGTTGCAATTAAAGAATAAAAAAGATGATGAATTTTGAGTGTGGAACAAAGAAAAAAATTAGGTCCCCATGAGGAATCGAACCTCAGACCTTGGTATTCCGCTGCTCCGATGCTCTACCACTGAGCCACAGAGACTATATAGTAAGTAAGGCGCATTATGAAGTTCATAGTTTCAGTTAATGCCTTTGAGGGTAGTTTGACTCTCATAAGATATGAGTCTCACATAGTTCCGCCACTATGATGCCATTCAAATTAAAGTAACTAAAGTAAAGAAAAGTAGAACGCCAATTATAAACATTTTTTGGCCAAAATAGTGGCATTCTCGCGAACGTGTAATTATTGCCATACTCCTCCTGGAATCAAAAGATCTTTATTGTGAAGCTGTCGGGATAAGGTAATATTTGAACAACTTACTTACCCTTGACATTTGTATCATAAAGCGCACAACGAACGACCGGAAACCTTCAAGATTCAGCACATTTTGCCCGGCCAGAACAGTCCTCATCAACTTCATGTCACAGTAAAAACTTTCTTCACAGTCTCGAAGCTGTGAGTTCAAGAAACTCACGAAATGACGAATCTCCGACCAAGAAGGCTCGGTAATGCCACAGTTTCTGCGAAAAAATATTGCAATACAGTGGCCATGAAAACACCAACCATTCTTCTTAATTAACACTTGAAACAGTGGAGCTGGGCATTTAAATTTCTTGAACAGTTGATGTTGAGCTTATTCGAGAAGAGAGTTCTCAGAAGAAAATGCGTTTTCACTACACATATCGGATAAATCCCCTAATACAGCACTTAAATAAAAATATCGCTTTGTAAGTCGTCTTTAAGAAAGAAAGAGCAAAACAATACCTGTCATACGCCGTGAACATCTACCTACTAATTTTTACAAACCTAAGAAGGAGCAAAAGGCATGTCTTTCGATCATCATCAACATTTCCCGCAAAGAATGTGAAATTGTCCAGACTTTGCCCTTCCTTCGACAGCTTAAGATATTGGTAGACCCTCTGGAATGGTGCGTTTCTAAATTCCTTGATATCGAATAAAGGATTGCAGTCGCTTGGATCTGTAACATTAATCAAATACCAGAGATTAATACCGAACACTGTGACTGATCACGATTAAAGTAAATGAAACATACCTGGAGTATCTGTTAAACGGCACAGAACATTTCTTGGTGTATCACAGTGAATAGTGGGTAATAGATCGTAGAAAGGTAGCTTCGATAAAGCGGATCTTCCGGATGTACTCTGAAAACCACAAAATAAAGCTAACATCAATCAATACGCGACTCCAAGGATACGGGTTAAAATGATGACATCAATTTGAAGAGAGCTGGCAGAGGGTAATTCTGATTATGACAATGACTCGCATAGCCGCCAGAGTTTATCCTGGCCTCTGTCGCGTGAGGTGGTTTAACACTTAAAGTGTTGCTTCTCATCCAAATGAAATGTTAGTCAAACACAGGTCATAAGACGATGTTTTTTTGAGGTTTCCCATACAGTGGCTCCAGTCGATTTATAGCACTGGATTAGGTACTGTGTAATAAACTGTCTTGCCCAGTGAAACTATAACCATGACCACGGCTAGGGTCTAAGCTAACAAGCCAACCAGTTAGGATTCAAATTCATAAGCTTTCATACCAGGTAGCAGCTTCACCAGGTGAAAGTTGGTTTCATACGTTTTCAGTGACTTATATTTTTAGCATATCCTTCCAGTTACAGAATTGTTCTACATAACATTCGAACACAACTTTCTTTCCCCTTTTTCTTAGCTCACCCCTTGATTTTCAAATTCTTCTTCCTTCGTGAACCCCATGGGTAGGGGAGCAGCTGTCGTAATCTCAATGACGTACAAGTCTGTGCTTCTTCTTCTCCATACTCTTCCCATCTTGTCACAAAGGTACCCAAGAACAAGTAAATTAAAGAGAAGTGTGTCCAGACCACGTCTCATCTAAAAGGGAAAGTTTACAAGTTTTACAAGTTTACAAGTTTTACAAGTTTACAAGTTTTACAAGTTTACAAGTTTTACAAGTTTACAAGTTTTAAAAGTTTATTAGGTCTTCCAAAACAATTATTTACAATAAACACCACCTACGAATAGCGAGCTAATCTAGGCGGGCGATGTTAAGGACAAACAAACACGAATTACTAATTGAAGGCGTTAAAAAAAGTCGTTTTTTAATAATTAGCACAAAATGATTTAAAATTCGTCATTTCGCAAACCGACGGAGAGAGAATACCACAAGAACTCTAAAATGACAGGAACATTCCTATTAATGTTGTTCTGAAATTGCTGCTCCTGTCAATTGGTAGCATTGGTATACACAGTGAATGTAGATATTAGAGCCTGTATTTAAGTTCTAACTAACACCTTTCGAATATTTTCTACTGCAGATGAGTCTCTCTCTCTCTCTCTCTCTTTCTTCAGGTCTCACCTAAATTGCCTTACACTCGAGGTATTTCACAATCTTACCGAAGGCGATACATCCAGATGAAAAATCCGGGAGAGCGGTACATTGGCCTTGACTGCGTGCGACAGAAGCGCATCTGCAACCATTGATGAGTCTGTGGAATTCCCATGGAGGGGTACAGTCACATGCAGCAATGTTTTTGAGTCTTGGCCGCGCAAATTTGTCATAATCAAGTCATTGTTCTCAAGGTCAGGCAGCTGTTCTGTTAAGCGACGAACAAACAGAGTCTTTCCCATGCCTCCTCGATTCGATGAGACAACTCGGACACAGAGGCTACAAAAAAAATCTCCCAATTAGTTTAACCAATCTTCAATCTCCGCTAAAATGATATATCAATATGTATGAGTAATCACAAGATTTCGAGCGCAATTTGGGATAATTCAGCACAAGTGATTTTTTCAAAGGGCAAACGAAATTGCACGAGCCCTTGGTGAGACTGTAATTTGTTTTCTGAACAATTTACGAGAAAAGTTCATGTGATTACATTTTATCAATATAACTGCAAAAATTTGACTCTATTCCTCTAACCCATGTTCATGGTGCGGCCACTTGCCTTCTGTTGTTGCAGGAGTCGTTGGGGTTTTCACGCAAGAATTTGCTTCGAGCTTTGAACCTTTCAGTCAGGAATAATTGAGGGTTTGCACTCATTCTCAGTAAGCTGTAATTTAACCTTCGTCTTCTGTATGAATTGTTTGGTTCCGACGTTTCAATACTTTTGTCATAGCCGCTTTTGGAAGAGCGAAACTTAAAATATTTAAAAACATTGTTACTTTCTCCAAACCTGTCCGCCATTTGTTGCGTTGTTAATTGACGTGTTTTCACTCAATAACCATGATAAAATTTTTGCATGCATTTTATTACGCACGTAATAATATCCTAGTAAAATTTCATCATGCTCATCGGGCGAGAACGCGTCAATTTATCACAAACAGTACAAAAAGTTTAAATTGAGTGCTGAAAGTTGAAAGTAAGAGGGGGATGGCTCATTTTGTACGAGAGATTGTCCTTGAATGAAGGTTACACTGTTACAAAACTATAAAAGAAAAGTAACCTTTCTGGATCTAAACATCCAGCTGCAGTCCATCTAATCTTACTGCTTCCGATGTATCCTTGCTGAGAAGAAGGAGCTCGGAGCTGATGCTTAAGGTAGCTTTTGAGGTCATCTGGCGAAGGACAAGGTGGGGCAGCAACACGACACTGTTCAAGAGCTGCTACTATATTGGCGCGGCCTTCATTCTCACTACTACAGATTATTACCAGGCCATAATCTAAATGGTAACGACAGCCAATCACCGTTCTTACCGAAATAAAAACATAATTGAACACACACAAGACAAAGAAGAGGTTATTTCGTTTGAATAAAGCGGAACTTACGTTCTCCATTCTTTCTAGCAAGTCCCTGCGTCACCACACTCAGCATGTCAACTGCTTGTTTACTAACGGAAAATTCCAACAGATCTGCATGAACAAGACAGTAAAATCGACCTTCCAATTCCCCTACTGCACGTCTCCATAGCAGCTCGATCTAAGTCAAAGAAAATCATATGGATGAAAAAACACTCACGCACCTCCTTGAGGTACACCTACATACCATTAATTAATTGGACCATTCAGGAAGGTTAACCGATTTAGGCTAATCAGCGTGTGACCCTTGAAAAATAACTAATGTGGGCTGATGAGTAAGTGACACTTAACATCCCATCCACCTCGAGGAAAGTTCCTTCCTTATTCAAACAACCAAAGTCAATATCCAGCAGTAGTTGTTGTAAACGATAAGGCTACTCAAACGAGCACTTTATCTAAAGATGTGTAAGAAATTAAGAAAGAAAATTGGCTAAAATATCCCACTAACTACCTCTTCTGCAGTGGTTTCAGGAGTGCAAAGGAGCACCTCTTCATGACTTGGCAACGGCTGTTGCTTGTCATGCATATACAGGGCGAGGACAGTCGCAAGAATGTCACCTACAGCAGAGTGGATAAGTGTAAGTACATATAATATTTTCCCTAAACTGCTACAAATAAAAAAAACAAATAAACAAAAAACTGCTTCCTGAAAGACTGGTCTACGCTTTAAATCTTTACAGAAGGTAATATCGTCAAAAGGGTTAATATAATGAAAATTTAGATGACAGCATGACTGAATTTATGTTAGCCATTAGATTTTTCAAAACTTATGTATTAAATGTGCCTATGGCTACTATGTTACATGTAGATACCTTTTGGAGCGAGCATGAGGTTGGGTCGTCCTCTTTTCAAGAATCCTGGAAAGGTGCGGTTTGTCGTCTGTTTCCCTATAAATACGTGATAATAAATGTATTCAACTACCAATTGAAGACCCGAGAAAAGCTAACTGTAAAGGGCCTAAAATAAAATTTGATCGACCAAAGTGTGAGTTCGTGTAGTTACGGATAGGGGAGTGAGGTATTAAAATAAAAACATGAATGTTAAGGTAAGCATTTTACCTTTCACTGAAAGCTCCCTGAGTATGTTTCCCAGCTGTGTGAGTGTAAGATACTGACTGATCTCTGTCTCTTCGTCCCTACTCGTTTTCTGATCGACAAGGTCTTTTTCAATGAGCTTCGATGACGACTCGAGTGACATGTCTGACTCGCTTTCGTTTGCACTATGGTAAGAGACCAATGATTAGATTAGATGACCTACAATAGTGCCCCTCAGGAAACCAATCATAACTTCTAGGTATTTACTATTTCTGTGTGTGTGTCAGAAAAAATAGAGATTCTAATGATGATAGATGGTAAAGAGTTAACTTTCAGTGAGGTTTGATATAGAAGAAAAGGAATTATCAAACTACTTCAACTAAGTGAAGAAAATATTGCAATAATTCGTAAACAAAAACTGAATTGCTTGCACTTTCTCTTGATTTTTACCTATGTTATTGTGTTTTAGAATTCACTAACGATAATCCCTATCGTATCGCAGTTGTTTCACTTGTCTAATAAGATACCTTAGATCTTCTGCTTGCAACCCCTGATCAGCAGAATCAACTGCTTTAGAGAAGACCGCTCGCGCAATGATAGGGTTTTGCTTCGCATCTTCGTATAGAGCCTCAAGGTCGGCCTCGTCGGCATCATCCAAACACCAAATCAGTAAGTCATCCTCTTCTGCATCAACACCCAGACTCGCCATAGCAGCCAGTGCGATTTGTTCCGAAAAACCTTTATCGGCAGCCGCGTTCAAGAAACTTTGAATCTTTGATGTTTTCCTAGTCTTTGGCTTCTTACCAGACGCAACTTGGACTGGAAATGTACTGATTCCTGTAGAGGAACTCACCTTTTCAAACACTGACCTGCGAGTTACCATCTCATATTGCAGAGGAACGGAAGAGAACGTTGGCAGCTCAGCTGTTCCTTTAATGTTATCAAGAATATCTGTGTCCTTGAAAGCACGTTGAATCGCTGATTTTAACTGTTCGCTAGTACAGTTGGGACGAACGCTTTCTAGCAGGGCAAGAACTTGAATATTGCTTATATCAAGACCGCTACTATGGCAGACTGTGGCGATTTCCTTCCTCAGCATCATCAACTGCTTAGTTGTGAAGAAATTCAATTCCCTGAACTCCTCTCTTGCATCACTAACCTTCTTTTTCCAGTTAAAGAAACAAGTCTCCATGCCTTTGCTCTCATCTTCCAGATCCTTTGCGATACATTTCCCCTCCGAGAAATCATCTTCACACTGAAATTCTCGGTTCCAATTCATGAGGTGAACAAACCCAGATTCGTAGAGGTTTATGTATGCAGTCGCCAAACGCATGACACCTTCAAGATTCTGAGAAAAAGTCACAAATTTTAATAGTTACTTCAACGTGACTTTCTCCGTATATTTTCCATACACCATAATACTTCACGCCCATATGAGAAATGGCATAGGCATTTAACTATATTAAACAATCGACTAAAAGTCGATCTGGTTATCAACCACCAAATGTCTTTTATCTACGAAGGTTTGAGTGTGGGATAAACTTTTCCTCAACAAATTCAATGAATTCGAATCAACAAATTTTTAGAAACGGACTTCACTGTAAAAATCAACGTTAAAAAGCAACGTCGTTTCGACCATTCAACGCTCATTTTCAAGTTCAAAAGTAAAAATTCTTCAGCATATACCTAAATAGATACAATCGATTGTTAAAATGCTGATGAGATACTTACCAGAAACTTGAAAATATTTCATAGAAACAATACAGGAAAAAAAAATTTCACATACGTAGTAAAAGAAAACACCAAGGTGACAGAAACGATATCAAAGATAAAACAATTTTAAATGTTTTAAATTATGTAAATTTATTTTAACTTTAATTGTTTTAAATTGTTTTAATTCATTTAAAAACAAATAGCTTCGCGCGGATTGAGTGACTCTCTTTGTTCAGTTTTGGTTTAACTTCGCAAATAAAAAGCATTTCAAAGATCAAACAGTCGAGTTTTCTTTGAAATTTTTTAAAAATCTTGTACACAAGAGAACGAAAACACCAAAATAATGAATGACATCAACTTTGTTCTCTTTACGAGGATCGAAACGAAGAGAGAGAAATAGAGACAATTCTACCGGAGGAGCTAAATGTGTAGCTCAGTCTATTTTTGTTGCAGCCATAGCAAGGAAAGGTAAAAAATATGAGCTTTCTCACTGGGGAATCTTATCAAGCGTTTAAAGTTATCATACAAGGCGCCAATATATGAAGAGGCTAATCATTTATCGATGGTTCGATATTTGATTGGTTTTTCATTGAGTGAAATTACGGCCAGACCTCCGGTGATTCCATGGAAAGAGAATATTCCAATGGACTCCATTTGAAGAATAGATCCCGACGGACTCAACAGGTAAGCACTTTTATCCTCCCTTGCCTTATGACGTGAATTTCGCCTATTCCATCAGAATTTTAGGTTTTATAAATGATTCTGTTTTGTGAATATTGGATATTTATTGTACTAATACATTTTTTCGCGCACACATTGACTCTCCTAAAGGTAAGTAATGACTCACCCTCACAAACTGTTCCACGTCATCCTTCCCTTTTTCAGCCTTTCCTGCAATCAACATCAGTTTACTCTGCAAATCCTTCAATTCATCGATAGAGTAAGTTTTCTCTTGCTCCTTTGCACTTTCGTCCTTCAAGGGAACCGTCAGTCGGATCACATCTTTCAACGACAGTCGTTTTTCTTGTACTTGTGACGGACCCTTTTTGGTGCCCAAGTGACCAACAACGTATACACCACTGCAGTTGATGGTCGTAGCTTGTACTAATGACGTCATCGCAACCGACCCATGAGACTCTTTAACCATTTTTAACCAGTCCAGGTTTCTGCTTGTGTCATACTATGAAAAAATAAATGAGTTTTGTAAAATTTAGTTACAAGTGCGATTGGTAGTGTTGAAGTTTTAAATTTGACTGCCCTTGGCCAAGCAAAGACGAGCACACATATGAATTAGCTATCCGCTCACCCAACTAACATAGTGTTCGTACACGCACTTGGCAGACGAATTCTATCCATCGAAAAAGTACGTGAACCATATTTAACCAATCTGAAAAGGAGTCGCTTCAATACATTTATTTCATACTTTGAAACATTTGAGAACTGGGTTGCGTCTTTCCATTGAAATATTTCTTACCAGTTTTTGGGGCAACATCTGATCCATCTCCACTGCTTTCCATACAGGGACACAGGCCTTCATCAGTTGGTCAAAACCCACTTTATATTCTTCAGTTTCAACTAGGTCAAAGATCAACGGCGCAAAGCCTAAGCAGCTGGTATGAAGACTGGATATACGGTCAGTTTCCATGTCGCTTTCAGCAGCTGAGATCAAAGCCAAGTCAACAAGAACTTTTAGCTCTCGGGTAGCTGTGAACGAAAATACATAACTTCCATTACTTGACAGGGATCGCACTTATTTTGTTCTAATAAATTTAATCCTGAATCAGCATCTACAAGCAAAACATTGAACGAGGTTATATTCTTGATAGAGAGTTTTCAACCTACTCTTGGACCAGAGCTAGAACAAGAATACATAGCTCTTTAATCGCTCGGATCAATAACCCGCGCGCTTCGCGCTTTGGGCAGAAATCCGAACGGAAATTTCCGGTTCGGACCGCCGAGAAAACAAGAGTAGTAAGCTATATATTTGATGTCTGGTTTAAAATTGCGGGAGAAGATTTAATTTCAACCAAACTTTTGATTTTTGAGCTTTTGAAGCCAGCTCCATCATTCTAATTTGGGCAGCAACAATGAGAAGCCAGTCCTCCACCTCTTCCCTGACTGTGCTCTTGAAGTGCATTTGTTGAACCTTGTGGCTTATCTCGCTGTATTTCGGGAAAGTAATTAAATAAAAGCACACCTTACTAGAATCAGCAAAATACTTTGTTGGAGGAGAGCATATACAATCAGGGGGATAACTTGCATTGAACTAGTGCCAAGCTGAGGGTTGTAAAGAGTGCCACACCCTAATATTTGCAATACTGCCGCTTCAGTTTATGTTTAATTAGTTTACTCCCTTACGCGCCAATCTGCATGAACCACTATATCAATCAAATGTTCTTACTTTCAATAGTAGTGCGCAGCCACTCCACAAGCCCTTTACTGTCTATCACAAGTCGGAGACACTCTTCTTTATCGACATCCAAAGACTTCAGTGCTACACTAGCCTCCATAAATTTGTCCCCTATGCTGTTTAAAGGTTTCTCTCTGAACTCTGCTGAAGACTGTTGTAAATTATTAAAAGAGTTTAACAGGAAAAGTTTCTCAAGCATAAATTCTAATGAAGTTAAAGTCATGTAAACATGGCAAGTGGCAAAAACAAATCAATTAGACAGAAGTAGATAGAGATGTTCGTTTTGTTTCGAGAGATTAACTACAAAAAAACTAAAATATGGGAAAAGGGAATTTCAGTAAGAGGAAATCAAAGGCGTGCGTAGCATGCAGGAGTTATTTTTCGGATGGGTGGTTTGAGATGGGACGCTTGAGAACTGACTTTTTCAATTTAATAAAATTGCCCCGTGGGGTGACAAGACCAAACAACAACTGCGATTGAGACTTCGCTAGCTTGCGAGCATGTCCTTATAAAATACTTACATAAAATACTGCTGCACGCATTGTTATGTTACCTAAGCGGTTTATCACATTACTCCTATCACGCTTAAACTACCGTTAAACTATCGCATACTTTTTAAAATATTGCTTTTAGTGCACAAGTACCTTAATGGCTTAGCATCAACTTATCTATCTGAACTTTTACAATACCATAATACTCCTCGTTTACTTCGTTCTAGTTCTGAGAATCTTTCAGCTGTGCCTAGATCCAGGTTAAAGACGTATGGTGATAGAGCTTCTTCAGTAGCTGCTCTTAGGCTATGGAATTAATTGCCTCTTGTATTCAGGAGCGTTACCTCTGTTAAGCAGTTCAAGAAGCAGTTGCAGACATACCTATCTAAATTGGCTATGATGTCTAGTTTTAGTAGCGTAGTTTAGTTAATTTCATTATAATAGCTATTAGCTTTTGTATTTTATATTTTAACCATTGTTGCACAGCGCTATGAGCAATTAGTGAACACAGCCCTCTATAAGTGTTATTATTACTATTATTTTTCTTTTTTTTTCTAATTTTTATTATCATCATCATCATTATTATTATAATGACGCTTGGGCACGAGCGATCTCAATTTTACCACGGAAAGCATGCCAAAACTCCACTATCTCTCCACGAGACCTTAAACAAAGATATTTTCAGGTCTACGTTTTTCGAAAAAGTGAAACACATATTGAACGAAGGGAAAAGAATCATATTTCAAAGGTATTCAAGTAGATATTGCAACGGGGGAGAGAGGCTACTGCCTCNTACAAGGAAATGACAAGTAATAGGGTTAAAAGTCCAAGGTAGCTTGAGGGCAAATTCTATTGGTAGAAAACGTCAACGTACGCGAGAGCTGTATAGAAAACTTACCAACAGTAGCATTTCGTTTGTGTAAAGAGGACTACAATTATGTTGTAAAAATTTAGGTTGATTACTGGAAAAGGTCATTTTATCGGGGAAAAGCTGATCAATAGTGACAAGTTAGCTCGTTCTTGTTCCGTGAAAATACCGTTCAAACACAATAATAATTCACAGTAAACTTATAAAAGCAAAGAAACGGATATCAGCATGGCAATCGACACAGAAAGTAAATATAACTTGATAATCTTTTTAAACTTAGCCAAGAGCAACAACAAGGCAAACACAAGATTATCGATCAAATATGCTTTGCGCAAATACTTTGCGAAAATTTTACCACAGTCAGCGAAAATAGCCCTTCCAAAACAAATGGTCCGACGACAACTTCGTGTTAGGCTTTTTGCTGAAAGTGTGTGCGTTGTAAGTGAAGGAGTGGTATAAAAAACACGTTTCAACTTTTAAATGTTAGAAAAGTTCCCTGCCGACTTTAGTAACCTCGAAAGATCAGAACGATGAAGTCCACACGAAGGAAATTGTATTATTTTTTTTGGCGTATTTATTTACCTTATCAAAACAATTAAGACCAGTTTTATCAGGCTCTAAAATGCTCATCATTTTTCTTTAAAAGGTCCAGTACACTGGTAACGAGTTGGTGGATAATGACATAAAAAAAAATGTAAAAATTAACAGTTGACCACTTACGAATCTCTCACATCTGTTGAAACTGAAATAATGTCCGACAGCGATGTAAAACTACCTTAGCAAGCTTTACCGAGAGTTGTGATATATCGTACTCAAGTAATGGTGGTTGCGATTACGGTTCAGCCCCACGAAGGAGAACCGCTTGCATCAAACGGACATTTCGAAGAAGACTGAAAAAAACGGTTTCTCGCCTGCGGTGTTCTGGTCAAGATTAGGACAAGACCTCCCGCTGCTGAATGTTTTGTTCGTTGCGTTTGTGTTTTGTTTTCTATGGCAAAGCGTATGACCAGAATCCAAGAATGGGTAGCTGCGTTCATTTCTAATGCCATAACATATTCTTCTTTCGCACTAAGTGCGGTGATAGTTCCCCTTGATCAGCGTTCTAGAGTTTTGTTGCTGAAGAGTACTACCCTTAGCTAAGTTTTGGCGGTAGCATCGAAAGAATCTGCCCTATCACGAGGCGCAATGATTTTTCGCCGAGAAGTCATCAGACAGTTTTACTGTAAGTTGCCCCCTTCCTCAGAGATTGCAAAGAAAAAGGCCATCGTCGTCGAGCCGAGCAAGTTAATATTCATCTGATTCAGTTCATCCCAAAAAGGGATTTTAATATAGAAAAACTTCTTAAGTTTAAATGCAGCATTGCCACATGATCCATTTCGCTCACCAGCAAATAACTGACATCAGTGTTGTAAATGAAAATTTCGTATGCATCGACTTTAACACAGCACTTGGATTTCAATAGTATTTGTGTATCTCCTTGCATTGCTATTATCACAGTGACATTGCTATTGTTGCTACTGTAGTTTCTTGAGGACAAGGGAAAATTGATGGCTCGCAAGGCGGATTTTCGGAAACCTAGATTGGGAGAATACACGGTTCCTTCGAATTCGAGCTTGTGTTTATGCTAGGGAAGTCGACGATCAAAACGCTAGCATTTTGGCCAAGTAGCTACATCCTTTGGAAAGTAGTATATAGAAGTACTCGTTGTATGTGTATTATCATTGTAGCTAACATAATTTGCCGCTCAGGCCACGCAATAAGTTCGTCCTCTCTTTTTGATTTCTCCTTTCGTCACCATAATTGCCGACGTGTCTTCACGTCACAGTTATGTAACATGATCGTCTTGACCGCGCGCCAAATGGAAACACTTTTTGGCCGGTTATCTGTACTTTCAATGCGTAAAAGAATGGTCAAGGAGAACTCGCTAGGCACTAAGGTCGATTATTTCACATTTTGAATAAAGCTATCCACCTGAAAACGTACTGCACTTGAAAGTGCGTCAACGTTGGTTGATTCCATAGCAACACTTTGCGTCACAAACTAATTCCAGGATATGATTGACAAGAGAGGCGCTCTGATTGGTGCAAACATGCCCCAATGCAGTGATTTCATTGAAATAAACACACTCCCTAATGTGGCGATCTGATCGATGCGAAATACATTCCCAAATGCGGCGATCTGATTGGTGCGAGATGCATACCAAAAGGCAGCGATCTGATTGGTGCCAGCAAAACGCCACTCAATATGTTTACACAAGTTTTTTTTTGTTATGAGAGAATTCAAAACGGACTACACATTTTCAAACAAGTGTCGATTTGATCAGGTCAGACTTGGAATACTTGATACTTAAGTTACCTGATTGCGCAAATCTTGAATGACTGTAAAATCCCCAGAAAAGCCCATAGCCTCCTTAAATTGCCAGATGGTCTTTGCTGCATTAAAGTACTGACAGAGCTGTTGGTACCGCTGAATCTGAGTCATTCGTTCACCGATTATACCTCGAAATTCCTCGGACCTTGCCACAGTTTGGGTTTGGCTTAGTTGAAACATGCGGGTCAGTTCATTCTCAAGTCTTTTCTCCTCGGTCTTGAAACTTGTGAATACTCTGTCAACATCTCCTAGAGTCATTGTTCCATCCACAACGCCATTTACATGTTTGCTCCACTCACTGAAAGCTGGTTTCCAAACGTGTTCAACCACTGCGGAGACACTAAGATGAGGCGTCTCTTTCTCGCAATTTTTTCTGACTGTCTGGGCTTTCTTACCATACTGTGTCCAAAGATCCTGAAAAGTGGAACTTTCCTGGACGTTGTGAAGAGGCGTTAAGACTTCTTTAATCACTAGTGGCATTTTCAAGAACTTGACCTGAATTTCCTTGTTGTATTTTCGTTTGCATAATTGACGTAATTCGTGAAAAGTGACATCTCGAGTTGCTTTTTTCTTGATATTGTCAACATTTACTGAAAATTTAAGATTACAACACAAAAAAACAACTTAAGATGATTCCTCAGAAAAAAAGGGTTATCTAACAAATTTTTTAAACTTTCCTTAAATGTTCCCTACCAATAATAAGATAGGTCACCGTAAGGATTTTAACGTACCGTTTAAAAAAACTTGATAGGCAGAAAGTCTCGAGCGCATGGAACAATTTAAAATGAAATTGTTGAAAACATTACGCAATTTTAAACGAAATCGACTCGAAAAGTTGCTCGAGTCGTTGCTTTAAGGTCATAATTTGCATCATTGAGTAATTGGCTTCGTGCACATTTTTGACCATATCTTTCTTTCTCCTCGATGAATTTTCTCTTTAATTTCTTCGATTTAGAGGGGATAATCTTTACACCAAAATTACGCAATAAAAAATACAGGTCACCGTGCTCGTTCAAGAGCTTAAGACCATCGTAGCTCTTTACCTGGCTCCGGTTGTTCGAGAGGGTAGATAACGCTATCAACTGGATAAAATCTCTATCCGGCGTATAGCGCAGTACGCTTGCTAACACTTGTCCTCTGGATAGCGATTTATCTGTTGGATTGCGTTATCCGTTCTTTGAACAATTAATCCGTAGTCTCTTGATTGAAAAAATACCGTGTTCTCGGAATGCGCGCGCACTTATTCGCCTGATTACGTGTTTTTGTGCACAGTGCAGGATGTGCAATGCAATACCGAGGAATTACCTTAATTGTATTCTCAACATGGACCGTGAAAACGAAAAAAATATCATTTTAATTTCACTCAAGCCGTTAAACCATGTTGAAGGTCATAGAAAAATCAAACATGCTGGACTCATTCCTCAAAGACTTATCATTTTCCTTCCATAAATTGTACAACCAGCGTGACTCAATTATCCTTGCATCAGAAAAACCTGATTAATTTATACATTATTCGTTGGAGACCTACCTGGCTTTATCAGGTCACACATATGAATAAAAAGAAGTACTTCCTTTCGAACAGTATAGAACTCCTCTAATTCTTCAATTCGCGCATCTAGAATTCTTCGCACTCTATGCTCTGAGTCAGATTTATCTTCTTCCTTCGTAGTAAATGTTGCTTTTGAGAGCTCCAAAAACTTTGCCTTGTGATCCCGTAAAAGCGTTAAGATTTCAACAGTCACGGTGGCCTTTGATATGCTTTCTAACACTGCAGTCAGCACAGATTTCGCTTTTACCAAAGTCTCCTGACCTTCCTTTGTTAAAATTCTTCCTCTTTCAGACTTGTCACCTAAAATCAAAGTCAAAATCTAACACTATGTTTATTCCGAGAAAAGTGCCACTTCCAAAAGTTTTAAAACTGACAGAACTAACATGAGAGAAGGGCAACTTTACCCTATCCCGGCGAACTTTTTTAAAACATGGACATTAGTTGTGCAAAAAGAAATGCTCAAGACAATCTTCAGACAATCTTCGGACAATCTTCTTTAGCCGCGACATCAAACAGACGTAAAAAAAATTATCGTAATATTTATAGCTAATAGAGGAAAACAGGTCACGAAGGCCGGCAAACTTCAAAGGTTTTAAACAATGAACGCTATCAGAACTTGAAGGTACCTATCACGTGACCGCAAAGGTGCACACTAGAAACAAAATGGCGTCAGAGCAAATAATTGTGTGGGGAGACGACTAAGATGCTGTTTTAGCCATTTTATAGGAAGACGAACAGATAGATCATCAATTTATATCTTTCATCAATGAAGTAAGTATATTAAGTATATTAACTATGTAATAACAACAAACATATGAAACATATGTGTGAACTGCGGTTATGAGACGTATATGAGAACGATCCTTCGCAGTAAAGCACTATTTGAGCAATAGTGAAAATCAGTTCACACATATGTTTCATATGTTTGTTGTTGTTTGATTTATCATCTACGGGTTTATATCGAATTAATTTGATGGCCTGCTCCCAGTTGGCTTGTTAGCTCAATTGGTAGAGCGCTGCACTAGTATCGCAGAGGTCAGTGGTTCGAATCCCGTACAGGCCTGAAATTTTTTTCAGGTCTGATTTTCACTATTGCTCAAATAGTGCTTTACTGCGAAGGATCGTTCTCATATACGTCTCATAACCGCAGTTCACACATATGTTTCATATGTTTGTTGTTGTTTGATTTATCATCTACGGGTTTATATCGAATTAATTTGATGGCCTGCTCCCAGTTGGCTTGTTAGCTCAATTGGTAGAGCGCTGCACTAGTATCGCAGAGGTCAGTGGTTCGAGTCCCGTACAGGCCTGAAATTTTTTCAGGTCTGATTTTCACTATTGCTCAAATAGTGCTTTACTGCGAAGGATCGTTCTCATATACGTAACTATGTAATATTACACTTCTGCAGTTACGGCTTTTCTCAGGGCTGGAAATCGTTGTAAACACTGCAGTTTGTATAATGAAGTGGAAAGGACCCGCTTCAATTTAACTCATTTACTCAGTATTCGATTTAATATCTTTAATAACCTTACCAAATGATGAGGAAATATAAGGAACACGAAACACTCGTCGGAAAAAGGTTTACATTGACGCATACATGAAACACTGCTAGAAGGGTGTAAATTTAAACAAGGCACGACGATAATGGTGCATAAAATAGTGGTGCATGAATGATACGTGAAAAAAACTGAACGAAACGGAGAAAGTAAATTATTGGGTGCGAAAAGTGTGTGATTTATATGAAAGAAATCAAGAAAATTGAATATTCGCTGCAACACACAAGAAAAACTTATTGCCAGTTACATGTTTGACCAAGGACTTGAACATTTTAAGACAACTGTGGCTTTGAGAAGTTCATTGGCGTAAACGAACAGCATATCACAGAATAAAAAAAAGGCGTTTACCAAAGAAACGGAAATATCCAGCCATTGGGTTCCAAGTAAGAAGAAACTTCACAGTCGAAAGTTCCAATCCAGACTTGATTTGCGATCGACGCGAATTTGGCCAGGATTTCGCGAGTAACATCGACAAAAGTTCTCCGTACTTGGCTGCGCTTGAATCACCTCGCATGGAGGAGCTGCGCAAGGTCATAAAGGTATGGTCGGCATCTTTACCCTTCCCCGACTAAAATAAATTTAAAAATTGTTTAGTACTGATACGAACTCCGCTATATAATCTTTAGCACTTGGACAGGAACACAACATTTGTAACTCGGTAAATTGTCATTACAAATATTTATTCTATTATTAAATGAGTAAAAGCAAGAGCACGCGCACCTCATCAAAGTCATTTCACCATTTATTTCCAGTATAAACAATTTATTCTTTAACGTTTAAAGAGGAAAACAACATTCGTACCTCCGTCAACCGTCATTACAAGTATTTATTCTACCCTTGAATATGTAAAAAGCAAGAGCACGCGCAACACATCAAAGTCATTTTACCATTTATCTTAATTATAAACAATTCATGTGAAACTGCAAGCATTTACCTGAATTATCGTTTCCACAGCTTCAAAAGCGAGTTTGCTGATGGATTCTCCGATGGCTCTGTCATATATCTCCAGATTAAGTTCGCAAAATATTTCCACAAGACAGGTGCCCTTTAC